TTTAAAAGTATATTCACAATCATTTTTGGTTCTGATTTGAGCCAATTTTTATGCTGATATGGACTTGGTCTCGTCCTGTTTTAGCCCTTGTTTAGTTCAGGTTCACTTTTGTGTTTATTCCTGGATAAGTCCCAATTTTAATGTGGTGAATGTGCAAGTGTGAACACAGTCTTATACGATCTTGTTAAACATCATCATAAAGTTCCAATACAAGTTAAATAGTTTATTTCAGTGACGTAGCTCAAAGCCTTTCAGTGCAAAAAAAAGAATGGAGATTGTTATGCTAATGTTTTTGGAAGATTTAACTGAACTTTATGTCCTAGTCTATTTTATATTTCATATTTTCTTTTATCTTCTTCTTCTACAACAGCTACAACAGCAGTACTTTTTTGACCTTCTGTACTGTGCAGTGGTTAGCATTTCAGCCTCATATCTAGAAGGCCTTGGGTTTGACTTCCTGCACAGCGCCTTTCTATGTGGAGTTTGCATGTTCTACCTGTGTCTGTGTAGGGTTCCTACAGGTGCTCTGGTTTCCCCACCACTAAAAAACATGTCCAGGACTCCCCAAACAAAGAGATTCCAAATCAAATCCAAATCTCAGCGTGACGTTCTGGGTTAAATAAAAGGTGAATTTGAATTTGAAGGAATAATCAACTTTAAAGCCTTTAAGCGCATTACAAAACCAAAACTATTATTAAACACAATCAAAATGTAATTGACCTTAGTGGTTAGAAACACGATCTTCTGTTCATAATCCAAATCCCTTATTATTCTTATGGCCCATATTTAAGCCTATATGATCTCTGTGCCGTTTCTCCTCCCAGTAGTTGAGCCCTGACAATCCCCTGGCTCAGCTCCTCTCTCTCCCTCTCTAAACCAGTGCACGGTCGACAGCGGCAGCAGCAACGGCAGCAGCAGCGGCGGCAGCAGCAGCAGGAGGGGAGCTGTGTGCTGGTGGGCAGAGGAATGCAGCTCACATCTCTGCCATAGCAGCCTGGTCCAGGTAATGTGCTGGCGTGTTGGCACTTGTCTAGAGCGGCTCATCCCTCCTCTGTATTAATAAGAGTGTGTTGTATGGCTGTGTTTTACAAGGCCAGGCTTACGGGAAGATAAATGATGAACTCCTCCACCTCTTCCTATCATTTACACTAATACTTCCACCAGTGCTTTGCTAGCGTCTGGGTGCACCACGGATACATGCTCACGTCATGGTAAAAGTATGAGTGTAAAAACAGACATCCGTGATTGACAGGCCAAAGTGTGGAGTTAGAGGTGAGTATGCAGGCCTATCAGTGAACATGGTGTCACATAATAATAGCTACACTTTAATTAACCTTGATAATGCATGAAAAAAGATGATTCAGGCTTAGTAAGCAAGTTAAGAAGTTCAGGTTAGGGTATTATTTAAGTAGTTATAAGCATGAATGATTCTTAAGGAACTATTTGCTCTTTATGAACTGAAGACTTTGTTCATGTTCATTAAAATGTAGTTATAACAAGGTCGTACCACAATAACAAAAACAGATATGAACTAAACAGGTTCAAAGCAAATATTGATATTACTGACACCAATTGTAATAGTGATTTATTCTCAGATTTTAAAAGAAAGTCTATGATAGGCTGTTATTCGTGTTTAAAGTTATTTTTTTTTCCCCCTCGGGCAAATAATTTAAGCAGAAAGCTAAAATAGCTCCATGCTTGGGCTAACAGATTCAATGGCAGCTAATTGCATTCTAGGTTAAGTTGTGATTGTAGTAAAGTTTTTAAATCAGTAGAAGCACACGCGACATGTCTCCAACTAATCCAAAATTCTGTAGTGAGATTACAGACAAGGAAAAATAGACAGGAGCACATAACCTCTGTGCTCACTGGCTGCCAGTTCAAGCTAGAATACATTTCAAAATCTTACTTATAACTTGCAAAACTTAACGTGGTTTCAGTCCTTACTACATTACAAATTTCCCTTGCCCTACCATCTCAATAGGGCACTCCGCTCAGAAAATGCAGGCTTACTAGTGGTCCCAAGGGAGACCAAGCTTGGAGTTGGAGGAAGAGCTTTCAACCAACAGGCCCCTCTGTTGTGGCGTCATCTTCCCATTCAGTTCAAAAAGTTTTGTACAAATTCATATATAGTTAAAATATAAATCACCTTTATGGTTTTATTTTGATTTTGCATGCATCTTTTGTACCAGTATTGTCTATTTATTTTCTGTTTTATCATGTTAAGCACTTTGAGACACATATGAAAAGCCCTGTGCAAATAAATGTCTCAGAATTGAATGTATTATTACATCCACTGCCTTTCCTCATCTGGTTTCTCTTTCCATTTATGACAACTCTTTGCATTTACGACAATTCTTGACCCATTCTGATCAAAACATGCAAGTGCATCTTCTATTTCTATTTCTATTTTCCCTACAGAGAAATGTTTACATAAGAGTTGACTATTGACCTATACATAGAGGGAGCTGTTATTAAGATACAGTCATCTGTCAAAATGGAGCTGTGTACGCGCAAATCGCTAGTGATGACAATGATGGCTTCCTCCAGATCTAATATAAACATACCAGTGTGATCACTTTTTTCCCTTGAGGCGCAGGCATTGTTCCATTTTGAAAGCGCTCGGCGAATGCTTGAAATGTGGACTCGATATTCTCTTCTCGCGGGCAGGTTTATTTGCTGGTATCCAGGTGATGGGCCGACCCGTCACATCACAAGCTGAAGAGGTCAAAGGTCAGAGTCATTGTCACATGGAGAAGAGGGCAGGGCCAGTCTGGTGGGAGTGGAGTCTGTCTGAGGGGGCAGGATTGAGTATACTGATGCGTAAGTGATTTGCTGGCAAAGAGTTTTAAATTGCACAATACAAAAGTCAATTATTGGACAATGACGCATGTAAAGCAGCTGCAGCGATAACCGATTTGGCAATAACTGTCAACACCAAGGGGAGCATGGGTAGCAATTTGATTTTTATCATTATTTACGTACAGTAAGTAACCTTTTTTCCATAGCTACTGTCTTTTTCTGAGAGTTCACACCGCATTGTGATTGGTTGAGTCCACATGTCACTGATGTACGACTGGGAAAAGGTAGAGCTCATAAGTTTGCATTAAAGGTGTAATTGTTTTGTCTGGAATGTTCCACTGTATGATATTAAACGTATTTATCTCCATGGAGACAAGCAGGTGATGCCACAAGGTGAAGTTACATGTCAGATCTATGGAGTGGTGACCCACACAGAAAGAATGTATGATTTTCATTAAACTCCTAAACTAACTAAACTAAAAGAAATGCAAGACAAATACATTTACAATTTAACATCTCCATAGAGACAAGGTTACATAGTGAACCTTTAAACAAATAACAACTGAATCAAAATATAACAATCTTTCTGTATGTATCATCAGACTGTGCAATATAATATAATTTAAGTGCCACCATTGTAAACAAATATAATACATTGTTCTTCTTTGATTCGGTATAATGAAGTTGCAATTGCACTGGTGAGTAAGTTGTGGTGTAATTACCTTAATGACACCTGATGTGCTCTGACAGTGTGAGTGTTCCCCGGGGCACTCCGAACTGCACAGGATGGATGGGGTTGGGTAAAGCCAGCTTCAGATTCAGGTTGAAAAGTAGTGCGATGCTTGTATGGAGTAAACACAAACATGGCTGAATGGCAGAAGTGTGCAGTGACTTTAATGTTTAGGCAAGCAGACTTGGGTGGACATCAATATTTAGTCAATAACAATTTAATAATGTTATGTTTTAACAAACAGCATTGTAAATGAGTATATGGCTCAATATAGCACATATACTGAGCCATTTTGTGGTCAGATTAGAGAAGCTAAGATAGTAGGGATGTAACGATATCTCACGGTACGATATTATCACAATATGCATCTCACAGTACGATATTTACTGCGATGTTTTGAAGATGCTAATATAATTGTAGATGGAACACTTTTTTTGACTTTTCAAATACAAAATACAAGATTTTGGTGTGAATTATGTCCGTCATAATCCCAAGAATTCAAGTAAAAACATATCTCTTCCTATTGACTACACTGAAATGAATCATGGGTTATGTAGTTTCCGATGTTTGTTTTTCCAAAGGAACTTGTAATTCGATATATTATGACAGTCCACGATATTATTGTGAGACTTTCGACGACACGATATCACAATATTTTCGTTATTGTAACATCCCTATAAGCTAGCACAGATTTGTCCTACTCCTACACCTTATTTATGCAGCTGAGCCTTCAGTATTATTGTTATCTATGCATTATCATAACATATCTAGAAACCATATGACATATGCTCTACAAATGGGTAACACACTTATTAAACAAAATATTAAGAGTAAAGAACTGAAACTTCAGGGCACTATGCAACTTTTCTGGTGGAGGGCTTGTCACCTGCTTGTCTTATTGCTTTGTCTGGAAAGTTTTCATGTTTTAAAATGTATACACATAGCGATATCCTTCAGCAATTTTTGACTATGTTGAAGGGCATTTTCCTGAAGAAGTTGGGATATACGGGCCATTTAACTACAAAAGTGCAGAAATATTACCTCACTCGCTCAAGTTTTAAAGATAATTCTGAAAGTTTCTGTATTTCATTTTTGACAGCTTCTTATAGAAAATATACTTTGGGTAACAGTAACTTGAAAGGAACAGTATGTAACTTTCTGCACAATTCCAAGGAACTAGAAAGTTAAAATTAATTAATTCATAAAGATATATACATTTCATGCCATACTGTGGAAGATTATAGTCAAAGCAACAACATTTCCATGGTAATAGGCAGGAGGAATAAAGGTCAGGTTTGTGGAGATGCAGCCCAGCATTCACTAAAGACACGTGTTTTTCCATGCAATAAACACAACCCAAGATGAAAAAAAAAACATGTTTTTATTTCAGTCTATTTTGTAGCTAAAAGTCACTGTGGATTTAAAAAAACAACTCCATCTATGATCTTGTAAACTCAAAATCACCCACCTCTAGTACTAAGTGTTCTTTTCTGACGGTGCCAGACAGATCCATCACTTTACACATCTGCAATACATGATGACAATGGTTACAATTACAGAACATGAGCCACTAATACAGCAGTGAACTTGATCATAGTCTGCTCCAGTCCGGTGTCCTTTCGTGTGATTGCAGAGTTACAGGGGAGGCTGACATTTCCCTAATAGCTTTAATGTTGTGTTTGACAAGCCCAAAGAGTCCGTGGTCTATGATGTCACACGGATTACTCACCTGTGTGGTTAGGCTGTGGCTACTGTTAAAACAAGGCACTGACAGAATGAGCTGCTCCACTTCTCCTCTCTCACCATCCCTGTGTCTGAGAGCCACTGGGATAAGCACCTATGGGTTGCAAAAAAAGACAAGTTATGCAAAAGGAAGTCGGAAAATATTACGTCGAAATGTTTTGACCAAGAACTGAAGAAGCTTGGATGAGCGAAACATATTCATTTGATATTTTTTGGAGTATATATCGAAACCAATATTTTCTGTTTTACCTTTACTTAACCAGGAGATCCCATTGAGATTCAGAAACTCTTTTTTCAAGAAAGAACTGGCCAACATAGCAGCCAATACAATCAATACAAAATAGCACGTCCAAATAATAGTCCAAATAATTTCCCTTGTGGATCAACAAAGTTTGTCTCAGTCTAAGTCTAAAATCACAAAATATCACATTGTAAAAACATCTGCATCGCTCAAGAAAAACAAACACATGTTTCGGTCATTGCACTTTTTACAATTTTATCAAACTTATCAAGTGACGTTTTATTATGTCAATCATAACAGAAATACGCTAAATTGACTATTGTGAGCTTTAAGCTATACCAGAATGTTGTTATCTCATCATTTTGTTTCATTCACGCATGTCTGAATAGTCCTTAATTATTAGTCTGTCTGCATCTCCAAAGCTCGAAATGCTCCACCTTGTGATGTCATGACTTGGTACATTTCAAGTTAATAGCTACCTTTTACCTTTTGTTTAAGTAGAGATAAGCAATTCTAAGGATGAAATTATTATAAAATGGTTCTAGTGAAGGTCTATGGAGTTTAAAAACACAGTGGAGCACATCCTGTTTTACCACATGACATCATAAGATGTAATGGGGTGTTTTCTTTTTGAGAGAAAAACTGAGCCTAAATATTGCAGGATATGGGTGTTGAAGGTGTGTGAATGAAACAAAAAACAACTCCAGGTTTGTTCGTGATGAGGAAATTGTAAGACAAATCGGAAAATTATTAAAAGTTATTTGGAAGTTTAAGACCACTGTTTTTATTCCATTTTCATTTTTAATCAGCTCTTTTGCAGATTTTTAAATGATAAGCTGTGACACTTGATATTGAAATTTTAAATATCTTTCAAACTAAAGCCACATGCAGCTCCTGAGTGATCATACTTCACTGTGATTGGTTAGATCCAGCTGTCATTCATTTAAAGCATGAAGGAGGCTGACCAGGAGAAGAGTGTGTTTAAACCCTAACCCACAGAACACATTAAACAGAAAAAGCACTGAATCAGGATTTGACAGTAGTGCCAAAATCTGGATCACGATTAGATTTTTTACCACCATACTGACAAGTCTTATACTATATAATTACACATCTCTTGCACAGGCAGGATCATCTTTTCATTTTATAAACCGATGTTTATGATGTGCAGAAAAATAAATTGTTAAATAGATCAGACCTGCATGTCTGCAGTCTGGAGACTACTTCTGAAGATGTTTACAGTATCTGCCCTATAAATCTAAGGTGACCAGATATTAAAAAAAAAAAAAAAACATCCCTAGTTTTTGGTGGTTGGTAATAATAAAATTGTGAAATGAGAGCTTAATTAAGGAAATTTTTTATGCACTCGGCACATTCATGACAAATATGTGAGCCATTAGTCACATTTTCTTGGTATTATGGTCATTTTTTAAGCAGCTTTTCTGTATTTTACCTAAACAAATGACAGTTTATGCCTCTTTTTACTGTTTGCAGATATAAAATTGGTTAAAAATAGGGACACCTGGGACATTTCTTGTATAAAACTGGGACAAATCAATGGTTTTGGATAAATCTGAAGGGACAGGGGCACAGGGCTCAAAACTGGGACTGCCCCGGGTAAATAGGGACGTCTGGTCACACAATATGTGATCAGTCACTCTATAAAGACCCTACTAACTTTTATGACCCATGCACACAAACTGAATACCTGCGCACCACTTTAAAGTCCGCGGGCCTGCTATGCCAACACTGCGGAGTAGTCTCCAGAGGACCCGCGGAGCACCTTGTCGGCCGCTCTCCTCTGCAGTCGTCTGGGAGTGTGCTCTGTGTCAATACCTCCAGGCGGCTTCAGTCAAACCCCGCGCTGGAATCCGAGTGCGCCGCAGCGGGGGGATTTCCACGTGCCTCTCTCAGTCTTGTTGAACAGCGTGCGTCATCCGTGCGTGGTTGCATCCGCCGTGCAGCTCACGTCCCAAGGCTACGGGGCCCACACTCGTCTGCCTCCTCAGCTGGCACCGGAGCAAGACTGAGTCACTATAGGTAAAGGGCTAATCAATTTGTATCAATATCAAAGTCAGTTAAGTAGTGGAGGGTTTGACTTCAGTGCCTCCTAGTGGTCACAAAGACAATTAACGCGTGTTACAATTAAAGTTGGGGTGACTGATTTTCAAATTTGGTCCTATTTACATCTAATTCTCACAAACCGCTTGGTACATCACTTTTGTATACTTGAATGAATTAACTGACCACTAGCACAGATTGAGAGCAATTTTTTCAGATGAAAAAGTGAAGCAGGGTGGACCACCTTTGCTCAGCCAATCAGCTCTCATCCCAAAACGCCATAAAATTACTCACATGGTTCTTTTTCACACGTCTGTAATAGATTTTTGTCACAAAGTTCTGATTTTACAATATAATTACATGTTGCATTATCTTACTAAACTACAACTTAAAAATTATACTTAGAACGTTGCACAAATGATTTACACTTGCATCTTGAACTATGAATCAACGTGTTGATAGTGTCACTTCGAGTAGCCCTATCTCGCATCATTATAGAATACTGTTGAAGTACTTGAGACCATTTTTTATGGTCTTGGTCTCGGTCTTATTTCGGACTCGAGGTCTGACACTCAACGAGTGCAATTATATTTCATTTCGGCTGCTGCTGTTGGCAATAACCTGCACCAGTGTGCGGGAGCGTGCGGGGCTTCTCACTGCAGCCTGTGTGCTCGTTTGATATACATGTGCTCAAATAACTGAAAAATACAAATAAAATAAATGTTAAAAATTACACAGATGGTCTAGATTTGGTCTCAGTCTCACCCCTCAGAGGTCTTGGTCTTGTCTCGGTCTCGGGACCCCACGGTCTCGGACTGGTCTCGGTCTCGATTAGTGCAGCCTTGACTACAACACTACTATAGAATATATTTTTTTATATTTTTTTAAGTGCAATAATCAGATACAGAGCTAGAACACTGCATTAATTGTTACCTTATGTACAGTACATCCCTATTTTTAGTCTTGTACAGCCTCTTAGTTCTTAAGCCTTCTCTGACATCTGCTCCACTTGTCTTTTTCTTGCCTTGATCTTATGTCATCTGCTTGTCCTGTGAACATATCATCACTTTAGATTTTCGATCCAAACATTAAAGTAAACTCAAGTTCTTCAAATCTAAAAACACCCCCACCCTCGCTAATTCGGCCTTTCTTCTGCGCGCTGTGTTGAGGTTCAAACATCAAAATTGAGTAGGTCACCATAACACAGTGTCAGAGAGAGAGGAGTGCATTTAATTAGGGAGACAGATGGGCCAGAATTATTGGCAATTGGAGCAGAGGTGGGCTGCCAAAATGCATGCATGTTCTGCATTTCTCCTCCACTTGAAAAGGGAAATATCATTGGTTCATCTCTGAGATATGGAATAACGTCACAGAATGAAGGAACAAAAGCAAGTTGAAAGTACAATGCAATCATGTAGAGCTGAATTATGGGATGTTTTAGGTTTTATGTAGTTATCTTAAATATGACAAAGAAAGAAATTACATTCCAGATCAAGCTGAAATTGATGGATCTGTATCAAAAGGGTGCAAGTAACATTTAGGGCCAAACTGAGTTTAATACTTTAAAGGTGCAATATGTAACCCCTCTGGTGCTGTGTCTGCAAACTGATTGTCTCCAAGGTGATGTCACTGCTTTGCCTGCATAGTTTTACGGTAAAATTTAAAGTATCACCATGGTGATGCCAGGCCAAGGTCTTCTCATTCTGCAGTTGTCAATTATCTGTCAGAAAACACAACACAACAGCAACACAACAACAACAAAGGGACTAAACGTTTAAAATTTTGAACAGAACTTTTAATGAAAAAAAACAGATGAAACAGGAAAACTAATTAAACTTGATAACAGTTGAGAAGCTGCAAGAAAACAACATGGGCAGAAATAGCATAACTTTCTGATAGCTGCCAACACATAAAATATAGTTTTAAAAATTGGTATTAGTCAAAACTCAAACATTTTGTTAGACCATTAAAAGGACCTGTACTCGATTTTTCCCATGCGAAATGTGTCTCGCCTCAGTACAGTTAAATTGTATATGCAGCTTTTGAGGTCAAAGCAAGTCTGCTGCATGCCATCTGCATTTGATTACAAAGTGTTTTACTATCCAATAATCAGAAAGTGCAAGTTAGCATGCTAGTTATTATGGTAGCTTTACAGTCACTTTGCACCACTGCAAACTGTTTAAAATTAATTACCATAATAGTTTTTCACTTTTTTAAAAACAGTAAAAATCTGGTACAAAGCCTTTAATTAAACAGTGATTATTAACCATTGTTGTACACTGTTGATCTGACAAAGGACAAAATCAATTTAAGCAACACAATTGGTTGGCAGTAAAGAATCCATACTTGGACTAACATTTGGCCCATAAAATACATTATACAGGATCATAAACGCATGAACTTGGGACATTATTGCTATGAGTTGCTCCAGTTTGAGTACTTTATGTAATGACCTCATGAGACAGGCCTTTTTACATTCTTAGCTACAGTCATAATTAACAATGTGTGTAAATATTAGTTTGCTTTATGGAGTGTGTTAACATCCCATATCTTTAGATTTTTATTAGACACCATAGTTTGAATTACTGCATGTTAATAGATTTGTATAGAGTTTTGCCATTAACACTGATATTGTAACGGACGTTTATGGGGTTGAAATGCTTAAAGAATTTTAGCTGGTCAGCGTAGATATGTATATGAAGCAACAAAACAAAACAGCTCAATAAAAAGGTATAAAAGGGACAGACAACTCTAAAAGAATGCAACTATCTATCACGTATCCTCCTTGTAATTAACAATAATATTACAGAGTCAATTTCATCTTTCACACTGCAAGGACTGCCGTCAGCTTTGATGCACATTGGAGGGAACAAAACAAAAGATTAAACATAATTCATAATAACAAAGCTTGTAAAACAAATAGCCTGATTTTGATTCATTGCAGTTTACAGTATTGATATTTAAAGGCACATTCTGCAATTTGCGATATTTTGTCCATTCTACACAACAAAGGGCTGGACAGTTCACCAGAAGTCTATCAAGAATCTCATTGGGACAGAAAAGGTGCATGCGTATGTGTTATGTATGTGTGTACCAATTAGATTTCATCAAGGGTCATGTACCTTCAACATCCTTGCTCCTGAATGGTTATGACCAAGAAGCCAAATACTATGCCAGATATCACATTCCCACAGTCCACTTCTATACAGTCTACAGTTGAAACATACATCTTCAGCATATTTTCATTAGGCTCCCACATGCTGCAATATCAGTCATATACTGAACCACATATATGTAATAAGGATGTCAGAAGAAGTAAATTATCAAAAGTTAAAACTGGGCTAAAACTACACTGTAAGAATATTAAAACAGGCTAAGGAACTTATTCTCCCAACTTCAACATCTTCTCAGCTTTACAGTATTCATTTATAAAGCATCTACTGAATGCCAACAAGAAGCTGCTTTTTCAAAAACATATGAGGGTTGCAAGGGGGAGTACAGATTTTTAGACCTTTCACAGAGTGTGCCTTTAGAACCAATGAGAATACAAAATGTTTGGACTGACTAAACTGTAGTTATTTGCTGGCCGTCCTCAGTGTCTGTACATGAGTCCAGAGCTCCTTGACCACCTGAGGATGACAGTGACAACACAACACATGGTTAGTTACTTATATTTATATAGTCCTACACAGACCCAAGAAAGACAAGATGCCAGGAATTGTGCTTTGTTTTAACAATTTTGCGTATTCAGTTTCTTTCTCAAGAGTCCAAAATGGCCTGTTCCAACGGCTGATGTCTTGAGGTGATGCCTTCAATCTCCAGGAAGTGCTCCTCCATGCTATAGCATGGAACTAAATCTGAATAGGGTATTGCTCCCTGGTATCTGTTGTTGGGAGATGGACTGATGGCCAGTCCATTTGTACTGGAGCAAAAAATCTTTTGCAGCCCAGAAAGATTAAAAATAAAATTCCCATAGAGTGCAATGTAAAAACAAACTGCTAGTGTTGAGCTGACAAGGCACCAGCAGCTTTCCAAAAAAGTCAGATTTTGTGGCTCTCTCAGCTCTAGACTGACTCTCCCTCTGATCGGTCAGAACGATCATGTGGTTTCCAAGTCCACTCTCCTTCCATTGAGGCAGAGAGCACTACGTATTCAGCCATAAACACAGGGGCTTTTTTTTAATACTCCAGGTCAGACTTTACAGGTCAGCATATTGCCCACAAAGCATGTCTTGTAGAGCTAGCAGCAAGTGTTTTAACCTTATTTAAACTGCTTCACTCAGGACTTTGCGCCCTCTGCTGGCAACACTGCTGTTATATGTGCACAGAAATTTGGGCAATTAGAAAACAGGAAATGCCAATGCTAAGGTGCTCTGAAGTATGAGAAATGCATGGTATAGGTCCTTTACCATCAGTGTTGCTGGCGCGGGGCTGGGTGGGTGGGGGCAGGCAGCGCTACATACCAGAGTATATGACTAGGTGCTCCAGGTCTGACAGATCTCGGCCTTGGCTGATGAAACTAAAGCACTCGCACAGATGTTTCTACACACTGGGATCAACAAGGCCCCGCTCCACCCCCGCTGCCTCTGCGCTTTTCACCAGCCCCGCTCCTCACACTTCGGCCCGGCTGTACAGTCATGTGGCCCTATGGTACACCTCAGGTCAGTGCGGGCCTGTTTGCAATGGCAGCCCTCTGATACTGAAGGGCGTAGGCGCAGGGTGTGGAGGGTGGAGCGTCTAGCTAGCATATACACAATTTCACACCATAGCAACGTGTTAAAGTGGAGTGATACGGCACATTTTTGAAGGATGAAATGAGGTTGGCAAGATAACAGCGTCCAGGGTTCAGACTGAGAATTTGAGAGCAAGAAATTGTGGTTGTAATGTAATAAACTGATCAAATTCCTAAATAAAAACATAAATATTTGCTTGCTCCATGGCGTTGTAGCTTGGTAGTTCAGATGCATACAGTCAAGTCCATCAATTACGGTAAATAGGACTGTTGTCATAGCGATAAACAATTTACAAAATATTATCACTTTTTAATGCAAAAAGATCCTCCAAATGCTGCGTATAACAAAGGAGCAGAAACCCATGAAAAGGTTGTTCTTGAAATTTAATTTGTTTCCATTTCAAAAGGTCAATGCATTCACCAGATACACACCACACCTACTGTCCTGGCAAATGTATAGTCAAGCACTAGTTTTTATCTCTATTCTTCCAAGTGAAAATAAGTTCTCATCAGACAGCCGGTTCAACTAACTATTATTTTTGTCACTTTTGCTTTTAGTAATTAGAACTGGATAATAGGTGGTTTTAATTGTTGTGTTGGGATTTTTTTATAGATTCGTATTATATTAAGGAGTTCAAATACTATTGTTTTGAAATTCATATATTATTTTATTCATATATTATATTATATATTCCCTAACTACTGGTATGGTGTAGGATTATCAAAAGTATAAAAAATCTGATACAAATTGCTACTAAAATTAGTATCAAAACTAAGTACTAATAAAGTCACTCAGAAATGAATCTTTCCTTTAGAATGAGGTGCATCAGAACAAGTATAAGACTGCATGGACTAGTATACACTCATGGGCCATTATAGCACCTACCTGGAGGAAGACAACATGGTAATATAAAAGTGGGACTGAAATCAGTATTGGAGTATTAAGTATGGTATAATAGTTGCTGAGACAAAGTTAGAAATTTTAATAGCGTGACAACACTCGTACCATTCGACACATTTGTCTGTATCAGTACCTCAAAGCTATCATTTAATGGCTGCCAATGCTCTTTGTATTTAGAAGAACTTTAGAAGAACTACAGGTGATCATTACAGCCTTTTGTAACTGGCTGTCCACTGACAGTACGTGATGAGTGTTTAACATAACATTATGACTAAATCAGGTCTCAGGAGTTGTTGTTTTTCTTCCTCGATATGAGAAGCAGCATTAGGGAAGATTTACGTGTTCCATTTAGAATAACACTCTTTTGGTTTGGGTAAAAGGCCTTGAATGTGAGAGAGGCTGGTACCATCCACATACCATCAGTCCCTTCATTAAGGATACAAAAGACACACTTGGCCTTAAATCAGCCCCAAAGAGTTCTCCGTGGCAGGTGCACTCCCACTCCATCTCCACACTGACACCGAATGAATATAAGTCATCGACAGTGCACATTTCTGAGTGTGGGAATCCTTGCTACTATGATTACTATTTGCTACTGCAGTTCTTAGATTTTTTCCAATAATGTGCAAACATATAATTGTGTTATTGTTTGACTAGAATGTTCCACATTATGTGTAAAAAAACCTTGAAGAAAAGAAGGTGATGCCATCACATTACATTTTTGACCTCCATATTACCTTTTATAATTCTGAAAATGCTATATTGCCTGAAAACAATGTGTTAACATATTTTATATGTCTCAGAGCACTATCACAACACATATGGTGTCTATGAAACTAATGCATCAGGTTTGTGAAGTTGTAGTCCATTGTTTTTGTCATGGTTTTGTATATTTATGGAAAATTGTCATACAGGAGTATGGGTGACGTAGGTTTGCGGGCTGAGCATTTGGACAGAATCATACAGCAAGGAGTTTGAATATAGCCCGAACGAAAAGTACATTATTCAAACATGCATGGATGACATATAAAACCTCTCCAGTATTTTCTAATATCATAACATGGAAGAAGGCTCCCAAAAGTTGATTTTACATAATACCAGCCGGACCTAGTTTGAACATCTAGAAACATACTTACATTTTTGTCTGTTACTCTAAAGGTATTCTTGACGTAATTTTCCAGCTTCTGCTCCGTCTTGGGTAAGGGTTTGCCCTGATAGAAAAAAACAACAACATTGAATCATTGAATCGATCAGGGGTTTAGCAGTGGGTTGCACATTCAAATACGAGTAGTAATTTTCCAAAGTGGATGACAGCCTTACCTCCTTGATAGCCGTGGACAACTTGTTTTTAATCTCGGCCACAGAAGGCGATTTGGAAGACCCGGCCTGGGCTTTGTCTTTCCCCGAGGCAGGTGACTGTAAACAGACGTCAGGCAGATAAGGAGCGCTGATGGATATGTCAAATCAAAAAGAGATTTAGAACCTTGTAGATACTATGATAACACACTTCTATATTCCAGAGTGTATCTTTGGCTTGGAGATACAACAAATCACTTATGATGTATGCTCATATAGCTTGTTCAATTTGAGATATTGCAAAGTAAACAAATCAAGCTAGTTCAGATGAGAGGACAAACTATAGTCTAGCATGTATCTATCATTGTAAATAAGCATTGTGGCTTCTAGACTTGGTGCAGAACAGACCAGGTGAAGAGCTGAGAAAAAGCCGTGAAAGAACATGATTTTGGTTTTAAATGGTGACAAAAATGGCCCATATTATTCTATTTTTGATCGGTTATAATGTAGTTTCCTCATCACAAACACACCTGGAGTTGTGTTTTGTTTCATTCACACGTTTAACAACAAATTCTGTATACTTAGGGTGAGTTCTGCTCTCAAACAGAAAACGCTCTGTTCTCAAACAGAAAACGCTCTGTTCCACCTTGTGATGTCATGTGGCAATACAGGAAGTGGTCCACTGTCTTTTTTTGTTTTTTGTTTTTTTCCTACACCTTCACTAGAAGTCATTTGGATGATTTCTGCCCTGGAATTACCAATCTTTAGTGAACTAAAGCTAAAATGTAGCTGTTAACTTGAACACTACCGCTTCATGACATCACAAGGGGGAACAAAGCATTTTGAGCTTTGCAAATGTAGACAGATTAATAATAAAGGATTACTCAACCATGTGTCATTGAAAAAAAACAACTCCAGATATGTTTTTGATGAGGTAACAACATTATAAACATGGCTTAAAGCTCACAAGAATAAATTCTGTGTAACATAGGACCTTTAACATTTGGTCTGAGTAAGCTGCACTCAGTATTTTTCAGTTACAGTTACATGGAAGTTTATTATTTTTGAAGATGTATTTATCATCCCAGACTGCTGTATGTTCTGTTTGTAAGGCGACTGTTGCTATTCTATTGGGCAACACAAATTAACTAGATTGTGATATTTATAAATCACTGTAAACCCGTTGAATCTCATACTTGACTTGATAGCAATCATTTTCGATTTGCATGCAAACACAGTGACTGATCCGAAACCACCTGATGATTGGCTGACCACGAGTCCAGGGACTTAAGTTTGGACACATGTTTGAAACCTGGCACGAGAACGCAGCTGGAGGCAGATTAAAGCGTGCGCAAAGACAACAAATTCTATCCTAATTACTACATCATTTTACTAATACATCAGGTGCAAGTATGCTTTTATTGTTCTCCAAGTGAGCGAGGGCATGTGCCAGCGCTACATTTTTCTATTAATGACAAGACAAAGGTCCGAGTTCAGCCAATGATGTGCTTCTCTTGAAGAGGGGTGTCTAGATTGGCCAGATGAGATTTCAGATGGTTTGCCGGTAAGAACTGACAAACTTTTCTTAAGTTGTGACTGAGTGTTACACAAGCCACAGAGCCTGTCGCTACATGTGCAACTAGTGAGGAATCCATCAAAATTGCAGGGTTTCATTGATAGCCAGAGACATAGTTAAAAGAGAAGAAACATACAAAATGGACTGGGCCTGAATGTATGCTATAAGGTGACAGCTCCCTGAGAAATACAAATGTGTACCAGTAAGTGCTTACAAATGCTTTACAACTAGTTGATTGTTACCAAATATATATTTTTTTATATTACATGTACTTTTTTCTACATATGTATTTATCGATGAATAGGCTTTTAGAAGAATGTCTTTAGAAAAATACATTCTTTCTAACATAGTAATACTGGAATCATGTTAAAATATATATAAATCTTTGTCTATTTGAGAAAATCGGGTCATTATAAGTGATTGGGTTAAAACTCCACAAATGCCACAGAGGCAATTTAAGCAACAAGATATACTTAAGAGGCTTGCAAGAGTTTCAGAACAACACAAACAGGTGGTACGCCTTGTTGGGTTAAACACCAAAAGGGTTAAAGTTGGAGAAGGGGGATTTGGTAATGATAAAAAATAATCACTTGTCCCTGTCCCTAAGAAGCATGCACTTTATAGCAAAGATCAAAAGGTATTAAAAACCTGCATAGCTCACTTTAAAAAGGGAACATATGCCACTGGCAGGCTGCCAGACAAATGCACTACGTATTTATTATTTACTGGCAGCTCTGTACTTCCAAAGGACAGCTGTGGACTCCAAACAGCTGATAAACACAAAAGAGAGCCAGCTTTTTCATCTGGCCCAGACGCTGATTACAGATGCCATGAGACGTGAACTTAATCACAAGCACACCATCATCTGATGCAGCCCTCGTCTTCAATCCACAGAAACACATGGCTGTGACACCTTTTCTCATCGCTCTGTCCAGGGATGGCAAGTGTTATTTAGCTGGAATGAGAGCTTTGAGGAGGTGAGACAGTTCACTGGGGACATTATTCTAATCCTATAAATCCTCAGTGCAATTACAGGGACCTGGCTTTTCAGCATTTGTTTTCCATTTACAACATTTATAGACTTAGTCAGGAGCAAACATCATAAAATTCAAAGGGAAAATAATTATATATGCAAACATGAACCAGATCGACAGGCACCTGCTCGGACACATGTAAATCAGTCACTAACACACTGACTCACACCCTTTTGTGACAAGCCTGAATGGAGTGGTTAACACGTTTACGACCATGACGTGTGCCAGAAGGCATCGACATCTCCACACGGCCATCAATCAGGAGACACCAGCTGCGGATAAAGTCCAGCCATGAAGTTAGCCGCTCTGCGCGCTGAGCCTGTTATGCAAGAAGGTTGAGTTCCACACTGGGCTGCAAGAGGTGAGAACAGCGGCGCTGGCAGCACTTCTGACAGGCCAATGTAATGACCAGTCACCTGTGCTAAAGGAACGAACGGAGGAGGGAAAAACAGACATCCACGCCCGCTCTCTGCTCCTCAGGGGCATCTGGAAGCACAAGCTGCACCAGACATCAAACACTCTGTAATGGGAGCAATTGGGAGAAGGTGTGTCCAGGAAGTGAGGGGTGTGAAGAGGTTGTCAAGAGCGAACAGTTGTTGTGGAGAAGTTGAAGAAATGTAGAAGAGGGCGGATAAAGTTCCAAAAGTCCTCATTCCTTGTCCTCTGTAGACATGGAAGGAGAATAAGCTCTCAGACTATGAGGCTATTAGGAAAGGGCAGACCGATAAAAGTGACAGCCAGAGACTGTCTACCATGAATAGTTTGAGGACCACTGCACATCAAAGCTACATCCAAAATCGATCAAGGAGCAAATGCTGTTGCCTCTAGTCTCCTTTTACCTCCAACAGGCACAAATTTGAGTAACACAACAGAGAGCAGGAATTTACAGACAGCTTCCAGCACAAACCCAAACTGAATCTTAAACACCACTTAACACTTTGTAAGGCAGGTAAAGGTAAAGCAATAAGATATTACAAATCAATTCAGTGGACACACCACAGTAGTTGAGTGGACTAGCTGGAATCATCTGGCCTGAGGGGGTCAGCAGAGAGTAAATTGGAGAAGTGGTCAGCAGTAGTTGCCACTGGCCTAATCCTGGAGCTTTTGGAGGGGTGCTGTGTTATGTCTGGACAACAGCCACACACATCTCCCACACAAGACGAGCTCTGGCCCACAGGGATTCAGTTTCTCCCCTCAGGAAAAAGGCAATCCAGTGGCTTAGTGTTCGACATGACAAAGAATCACAGAGCTTTCCATCAACATGTCAGCAAGCACCACTATTTGCTTTGCACACATGCACTTATCTAAACTGACTTTTTTATTTCATCAGGGCGTGATGCATTGTGAAATAGTGTCAGTAATATTCTTTACAGATTATGTTTGCTTTTACAAAACAGTGCCAAAAAGGTGTGAGAAAGTGTCAGAGAAGATGGCGTCTTAAGAAAGTGGGATTAGGCCTCGGGGTCAGGGGTTTAAACCCTGCCCCAGGAAACAGTGGGGAGGTCAGATGTGTTTGCTTAACCACACCAGCTCTTCACACTCTGGGTCGGAGAGGCAGTATTTAAAGACATTCCATTACAGCACTTAACGGCCCAAGGGTCGAACCCTCTTGTTGTGAGGTGAGAGCCACTGGAACAAATTCAAAAACACCAATAATCAAAGGTCTTTACCAACCTTAGATTGTGGTTTTGGTGTAGATCCAAATTTTCCTGATTTCTCTGGACTCTTGTTTAGCTTCTTTCCTGAGCTCTGTTGACCCTGAGGAAAGAAATAATAATTTTAATAGGCTATATCAAACTTGCTGGTAGTATGGCATCATTTAGATGGATATTGTTCGAAAATATTGAAAATAGGCAAGGCAAGTTTATTTGTATAGCACAATTCGTACACAAAGTAATTCAAAGTGCTTTACAACAAGAAATACATTAAAATCATAATAAAAACAAAACATAAATAATCATGAAGATTAAAATTAAAAAAGAGAGACATAAATTAGAGAGAAGAGTGCAGAATGAAAACCTTTCAGTTATATGCACAGTTAAACAGAAATGTTTTGAGCCTGGATTTAAACAGCTATATATTTAAACATTTTTATCAGAATAAATAATTTTTATCAGAATAAATAATTGAAATATTCTTAACGAAACCATCATTGCAATGAAGTAACAAAACAACTGGAGCCTAGCAGTAGCTCTTAGGAGTGCAGGGGTTCCTATGGTGTTTCTCTCCTTCACCTATGTAATTAGCCTGTAATAGCAGAGTCAAGTACCTGCGTTTCCTGCGCACCGGCCCTGTCCTCAAAATCACTACTATTCACCCTGCTATGGCACGCTGTGGAATTGCCTGTGTTGACATAACCGCTACAAGGCAATTACACATACAATTTCCTCAAGCAGTGGCTGTAATGGAGGATGATGGAGGGTTGTTCCAGTGAGGTGACAAAGAATTTCTGCTAATTATAACATCAGGGAACTGATAGTGATCTAGTACAGAGAGACTTGAAGTCATTCATTAATGTATGAGCAATGTAATGAGCAAAATAATGGTTATTGTGGAAGAGCAAAGGTCAGCAAAGATTTAGGGGAATAATGATAGTACTTGCTTTGGAGTATCAAAATACAAATTTGGAACTGGGTCAGAAGGTCACTAGAACTACATCTAGAAGTAAGACATGCAAGGAGGCAATAGTTAAATTCATCAAGATGTTCACCCATAAACTCCTGCTGCGTCATCGGACAGCATATGTCAACTGTCTTATATGTGTTTAGTGACCGTGATTTACCTGAGGTGAAAGCTGATGCTCATGCATATTAGCCATGATTTGTCTAAAGAAGCACTGCATGAACTTAACACATTATTATGGAGTGATAAAGTTAGCCATTAGTAGCTAATAGTCATTATGAAGTTAAACAGTTTGAAAACATTTATACTTTCTTTCTCTAATTGTTATTTTACCTTATCGCTGATGGCGACAGCTTGACTGAGCTAATGGGAATCAATCCACGATAAAGAATAAACAAATCGCTGAGTCAAAACTCAATAATTTTCCAGTGACATTACCAGAGAATAACTGGAATGCAACAAATCACAGGAATCCTTTATTAGTCCCTTGAGAGAGGGAAATTCATTTTTTTGCAACTTGTCAGGAGGAGTGAGCTGCTGCAGTACAGCCCTCTGAGACTCATCTCCAGGTCTAGAGCCAGGATTGGTCAAGACTAGTTTACCTGAAGGATTTAAAATAGTGTGCGTGTTTTGGGTTGACAAGGAATCTAGAGACAGGGGAACAAATATGCAAACTCAGCACAGAAAGGTCCAGATGACCCGGAGTTCTGACCTGGAACCTTCATGATGTGAGGCATAAGTGCTAGGCACCTGGCCACTATGCCACTACTATAGGAGTAGACTGTGATTCTGATCATGTTTTTTGTTCTAAAACTACTAAAATGTAAATACCATTACTCATGTAGCCAGTGCACTGCTCTAACATGAGCAGTTTGTTTGGACATGAGAAATGGTTTTTCAAACATTTGCCAATGATTTAAATCATAATTCAGGAATGTGCCGTCATGCCACATCTGTGAACTTGTATGATAACAAGTGTTTACACTAGTGAGTGAAGGACTAATTGATCCCAGGTTTGTTACAATAAAATGACACAGAGCAATTAGAGAGAAGAGAGAACAAGTGCAGGAGACAAAGATTTAGAGTAATGGAGCGGGAGGGGAGGACAACAGAATAAATCAACAGGTGACACACAAACTGCTCTGCTCTGGCCCGCGGCTCTGCTCTCCGTTCATGTCACAGGTATGCACCGCATCTGTCCTGCTTTGATCTCTGGCCTGGCACGGTCTGCGCTTGGACGGTACGCTTCAGAAAAGAGAAGGCAATCGCACACGCACCCACATAAAAATGTAGCAGATACACACACTCATACACACACACACGCAAGGCTAAGTTATTGTGCTAACACGCAAGTGTTCAAAGGCAGCGACCAGGTGCACAGCTGAAATGGCACGAGAGACGATAAAAGGAGCGATCATATTAACAGTGGGATGACAGAGGGACAAAGATATGCAGAGTTACAGAAAAAGTAGAGAATGTTTCCTAAACTGTGCTTGTGTGCTCTCCTACCCTCATGAGGACAGTCATTGACCTACAGATACGGTTTTGTGGAAATGTTCTCACTATAGCTGAAATAGACCCTCACTATAATGGGTATTTTATTGAGTAATTATTTATTGATAGTTTAAAAAATTATGTATTACACTTATTGCACAAGCTTCTCAAAGTGCTACAGGAGTTCTATAGCAGATACACTGATCTTTCACAGGACCCACGCTTTGTGTTAACATGCAACATCTGTAGTTAAAGCGTAGCAGAGTAAGGGAAATGTGGCTTCCAGTCTATGACAATGGCCCAAAAGTCTGATTTAAAATTAATGTTTTATATGTTTTAATAAAACATAATCAAGTCGAATAGCAAATCTTAATAAAAGAACATGAAATCCAAATGAGTAAATTTTTGTCATATCACCCAGCCCCGCTACTGTAGTGTAGAGTTCAAAGTTTAATCATGAGCCAAATGTAGTAAACAAATCTATACTTTACCTTGTTTCATTAATACGCATGTCAAATTGTCACTGTAGTAATTAATATTATTCAACAAGAGAGTCAAGAGGAGCTGTAGGTATCGATCCACAGTAAACAAACTGCGGTGTTGCGTTGTGGGCATCTTAACGTGAACTAATCTGCTGATGGCCCTGCACAATCAGCAGAGTGTACGTTTTCTCTGAGACACAAGTGAATGAGCTCAATGCAGCATTAGTGATAAAAGGCATTACGTAATCCAAGAAGAATAAAGCAAACTACTACGCTGCACCATGCGCTGGACATTTGAGTTACAGCTCTGCACTTACATTAGCTGTTCTATTCAAATGTCCAGTAATTACCCAGACATAAAACAGATGAATTGTATAATAGTGCCAATCAATTAATGGTGATTACAATAATATTCCAGTACTTTAAGGATATTAATATGGCATTAATTAAAGAAACATTGTGTAACTTCTGTGGTGGAGGGTCTGCCACCTGCTTGTCTCCATAGAGATGTTATTGCTTTACCTGGAATGTTCCAAAGTACAACATTAAACTTATCTGTCTCCATCAGGTCAGGCAGGCGCCCCCACTCACATGAAGAATGCATGTTTTTCAAGGTATTTTTGAGCATTGAAAACAAATAATAAGAGTCAAGCAGAGGACAGAACATCCGATAAGTTAATTGCACACTCTTACGGTTATTTTGTCCAACACTTAATTCCCATATTAATGTTGGTCAAAATATGACAACGATTAAATGTGACTTTTTAGGGAAGCTTACTAGTCTTACCAAATGAGTGACTAATAATACCCAGTCATTCTTCACAGCTACTATTATGTACCATGACAAAGCAATAGTGTATTTAATCTCTCCAATATTGTACTTCACTTTTGACATTATATGTACAAAAATACATCTGTGTCCATTTCCCATTGGCCTGTTTGTGAGCAGAAGGCTGTGTTTGTGCAGTGTGTCAGAGCAGCACGATGCTAGTGAGATGGTGAGAATAGAAGCAGATTACAGAGGAGAAATCCGATCATTACCGCGCTCCCACCCTGTGTTTTACTCTGGGGAAACAGGTGGGCGCACAAGCAAACAGCATTAAACCGTGCACTGTTTTGTCTCGCTGCTAAAGGTCTGTGGTCACAGGGTGCATGTATGGGAACTAGGGCTATACAATAGCAACATGTTGATTCCTGTTATTATAGCAATATCAGGTAATACAATAAACACTTTATTCTTTCATAGCCAATAATGAAAATGTGTGGTGACTCGAAGATAATCACATAACCTACATATTAGTGTTGTTACAATAGTAAATTTTCAAATTTGATGTTCATACTAAGGAATAGACTCGATGCTCAATAGCAATTCTGATAGTACAGTGATAGTAAAAAACATTCTTTAGACAATAGAGTCAATGCCAATATTAAATCATAGTACTTTCTTTATTACCACATGGCTTTATGCCTGTATCATCCAGGTAGGTTCCACAATGGTCCACGGGCATATTAGGTTTTGGAGTACAGCTCAAGATCATTCGAAAACTATTCAGTAAAGGTTTATTTCTGTCCTGTGAATGACTTTTTTATTGATACTTGCTCAAATAGTTTCAGTACTAGTTTTAGTATTAATTAGTATTAATTTTCACTACTTTTGACCACCTTAATAACCAATTATGACTCACTGTCTGTGTAATTCCACATCCAGCCTTAATAATAGAAACAAAACCATTGACTTCCTGTTCAAAACTATTCTCTGCATCTGGCATTTCACCATAGCAAGCAGTGCTAGTGGATTCAAATTTCCAACTTGTCATGAACAAGAAGGGTACTCTTAAATTAAAAATTACTCAGTTATATAATCATTTCCAATTTTGATCATAACTGCCATATTTTATGCTGTTTGGCTTGTTGAGTTTTAATTTAGGACTATACAAGCAGTGGCCTGTTCCAGATGACAGACAAACCGTAAATGGATACAAGTAAAAACAGTACCTTCTCAACTGAACTCGCTCAAAAATATGTGGCTAAACGTTTGCCTATCCTGACATCTGGTGGCCAACATGGGACAAGAATCTGTTTTTGGTTTGTCCCAAGAGTTATTTTGAGACAATTAGGAAAGTATAAGCAAAACAGAGATTTACCTTTTTAAAGTCGGATTTGGAGGGCTTCAGTAACTTCACCTCATTTTCATCACTGTCATCATCATCTGCCTCACTTAATATGGCACAAGAAAAAAAACAATAATACGTTGCAGAAATAAGTGGTATCTGTACAGTAAATAAATAATAAATCATAATAAATAAAAGTGCATTGCTTTAGGAAGAAAAGAAACATACTCATCATCCTCATCTTCTTCATCACTGTCATCTTCATCAGAATCCATTTTTAGCTTTTTCTTTAAAACAAAAGGGGGAAAATATTGTTGCAAACCAGTTACACCAGTCAATTATTGTATACCTTTGAGAAGAATTTATAAAATATGAGTATATATGTATGAAATTGAAAGCTTTCTGAATAATACACTGTTCAGGGAAGGTCTACAAATTCATTATAGTAAGTTCAGGTAATAAGCATTAATTACCAAAGGAGGTTTCTTCCCAGAGAGTCCAGCGGGTCTTTTTACAGGCGATGTGTTGTTCTCCTCCTCATCTTCATCATCTGATTCCTTCACACCTGCATCAAGGGAAAGGTTTATTCTTGGAGTGTAGTTTAATTGGTAATATTCTGACAGAACATTTAATATTGACAATGACAGCTATCAAGTGCCATACTGTACTGTCTGTATCAATAAAACCACAGCAATAATGCAGTATACTAAAGCAAAAATCTATTATTTGAAAACCTACCAACAAAATGCTGTCCACTGATGTAAACAGGACCAGAGCCAGACTGAAGTCGAAAGGTCACAGGAGGAGTGATCTCAAACCCACCAAGTGACACCTGAGTGAAAAAAAATGCAATTGTTAGGGTTAGAAATACTGTCATAAACTGTTTGTGGCAATAGCTCTTTTGACATACAGACGGTAAAACAGAAGGTTTCAGTGCTGCCAGTGGAACTGTTGTTGTTTTTCCATCAAACGTGAGCCCTTCAACTTCGACCATGTGGAACTTATCCTCAGCATCAGCTCCAAGGCACACCTGCAAAATACACAATAGCTGGTATCACCTTTTTTTCTTAATGTTTTTTTTTTACCGTTTTTCATAGCATAGTATAGTTGTATTGTTGCACAGGAACACAACAGCACTATGGTCTCTGGCATCATCCCATCACATTACTACAAATGTGGACTGTGGAGTGAACAAATAATGCAATTTAAAGCACTTTTCTTTTTGTAAGCACTATATAAATCCAATGCATTATTATTTATTTATTTATTAGGGATGTAACAATAATGAAAATATTGTGTTATTGCATCATCAAAAGTCTCACAATAATATCGTGCACTGTCACAATATATCTAATTACAAGTTCCTTTGCTTAAATACATGGTTTTATAGTAGCAACAGCTACTATAAAACCATCAGAAACTACCAGCATGAGAAGCTACATGTCAAATGATTCATTTCAGTGCAGACAACATGAAGAAATATGTTTTCTACTACAACTCTTGGGATTGACAGAAATAATTCACACCAAAATCTTGTCAAGGTATTTTAAAAGCAAAAAAGTGTTCCCTCTACAATTATATTAGCCTCTTCACAATATTGCAAAAAATATAGCACCGGGAGCTGCATATTGTGATAATATCATACTGTGAGATTTGGATATCGTTACATCCCTATTATTTATTATTACAAGTGTTCTTAAAAGGGTCTGTTTTATGTAATATATGCAATGCTTACATGCACGTGTAGTAATATAGACCTGGGTGCTTAAGAATTAAGCAACTCAATGCAAGATGGTATTCCTGTAGGATGTCATGTAGTCTGTAGTGTTGACTTGGCTAAAACACAAGATAGATGCTCAAAATGGTAGTGTACTTACTGCTTTGAGGGATAGCTGCTGTTCCGTCTCATCATCATCATCTATTTCCAATTTGTGTTCCCGTTTGGACGATGTCAAGGTGCAGCCTAGCAATAAATAACATCAGACATGGCAAAAGGTTAACACAAGTGGTCTACGTGTGTGCTGAAAAACACTTTAATGGAAGCTACATGCCACTACTGCGCTATCGCTAACAATGGGGAAGAACTGGCGCCAATGGAACCCAAAGTTAGTCCAGATTTAGACTATTTCGACCGTCTAAATGCAGAAGCAGACTATTTGTGCATGATAGCACTTGGTCGAGAAAGATTTTGCAATAAACAATTGTAGGATGCGCCATTAAACACGAGCTCACCGAATAAAAACATTTGGGGTCTGCTCGCATCTGCCGTGTTGTCCTCCATCTTCGAAAGGGGCAGCACGACTTCCGTCAACTAGTATGATTGACATGTCGAGAGCCAATGGCAAGTAGAGATATATGAGACGTCACTAAAGCGTGAGCCAATGAAATGTGAGATTTTGAGAGAAACATTTTTAAATGCACGTTCTATTAAATAACCACTGGATGACGCTGTTGGATTAGTGTATGATCCTGTTCTCTGATACCTATGTTTGTTTCAGAATGGTAAATGTTTAAAATGGCAAATTAAAATGATTAAATATGATAAATAATCCAATAAATAAAATAAAATACCAGATTGTCTTAAATTGGTATAATTTTATGAATTTATTAAGAATTATTTGGCTGATGATGATAGCAAATATCCTTCTACTGGTGAAATCAATTTTACTTACGTTTATAATGAAACTGCATAACTATATAACTGTATATATTATTCAAAAGATAGGCTAATACATGAGTAATTGCTTTCCATATTAGGGTGGATCATTTATTTTGACAGTGATTTAATTTATCCTATTTCCTAGACAGAGTTCAATCTTCTATGCATTGACGTATATTATTATATTATTAAACAGGCACATCAAATCACCAGCATTTGAAGATGTAATATTCTCTAATAGCTGATAGATCCATTAGTCCACTTTTTGTAACACTCACCTAATACAGAAATACTAGGCCTATTTGGTTTCTAGTGTCAACATTGACCAATATGGAATGTGATACAATATTTTGAGACGATGAATGCTCCCGCTGTTGTATCTCATAATAAAGTTTGTTTCCATTTTAAGTTGAGAAGTGGTAGCGTCTTTTGTTAACAGAGCATCACATTTCAGCACATTAGCAGCTCTAACTGAACCAGGCATGTGAAGCTATAAATGAGTTGCGTCATTTCTCAGCTTTTTTTTTTTTCTTTTAATCTCAGTGCTGCAGTCAATGATATAATATTAATGTTGTAATGTTAATTGCATATTGACACAGAGAAAATACTGTGCTCATTCCAGTAGCCCATGGAAAAGACATAGACACCTTTTGGAGTTATTGTGGCTGTTAAAAAATACAATACATAATAAAAGGAATGAGAATCACAGAGTGCCTCATGATTAGATATGATACAAGATACACGGCTCACGATATATTATGATATATTCCTATTTTTTTTAACAATGAAATACATTTTAGCAACAATATTTCTTTGTTAAATCACTATTTGTGCAAAGTTAATATGAAATGCTTCTATTTTAGTAATCAAAACTGTGAATATGTCAAGTGTATTGCATAAACAAGTTTTCTTCCATTAAATGAGCATAAAAGTTAAAATATGGTCATGAAACAAAAATGCTAAAATATGAAGAAAAAAAAATACACAGTACAACAACTATTTACATACAAAAACCATATAATTACCTGAGTATTTACTGACATCAATGCAAATACCACATACCCGCCCAAAACAGACAAATGTGAATGACTGCGCTATGAAACTACTATTTTTATTTTTTGTTTATTTGGTTCGGACAGTGTCATTACTGGACATAAAATACAGAATACATGCTGTAAATGCACCAGACTATAGCTATACCTATCTTGTCCCACATTCACTCTCACAAACACACTCTCATTCGTACACCAGGTCATATGAACACTGGAGGCAAAGTGGGTGAAATGTCTTGCCCAAGGACACAACAACAGTGAGCCACTGCTGCCCCAATGCTGCACCTGGTGTTCCCAGCGGTCTCCCATCCAGTAAGAACCAGGCCCGATCCTGCTTAACTTCTAAGATCAGAGAAGACTGGGTGTTCTCATGGTGATAAATTGTGTTATGTATTTTGTAAACAGGTTTTAAATACATTTTAACTAAACCCAATTACAAAAATAGAACATTAGAAACATTGCAAAAATGAAATGTTTTCTTTCCCCTGCAAACCTAGAAAAAAATGTCCATGCTTTTGACACTTCAAAGCTAAATTATTGTAATAATATATTCAAGTAAAAGTCTGAAATTGTACAGAACTGCTGAATATTAAAAAGACACATAAGCACATTACATTGAAACTATAGCCTCCCTACAATGTCTCGGCATCAACTTGCAAATCAATTTAAACATTTTATTAATAACTGTTGGAGCCATTTTGCGCCTCTCTACTTCCCGCCTCTGTGTGGCGCTATCTGTAGCTTACTATGTAATTTGCTGCCCTATATAAGGGGGGAGAAAATGTGCACACAGGTGTTGCACCGTGAAGGTATACAGTCTTTTGAACGTCGTTGTCATGGTCGTGATCTATCGAGTGCCGAATCTGTGTATTTTTGGATGGCTATGAGTTACGCTAATAAATGTTGAGGAACACAGTATTTGGACTCTCTTTTATTGAAGACACGCGTCCGAGACACCACACACGCTGCAGCCATAGCGGACCTTGCACACGGCAAGTTTTGGCGGCTACAATAACTTTTAAAGACTTTGGTTTCTTTTGACTGGTCAAAAATCTAGCAAGGGCTGAATGGGTTATTTCCTGGGATGATTAGGGAATGAGTGTCAACTGTAGGAAAAAACAGGGAGGAAGCAAAAGATGGACTGGATCAGACTGGGAAAAGGAGCTGGACTGGGAATAAACATGTAAACAATAGGTAAAACTCCATACTATCCATACTAGAGGGGATTGTGCCTTTTCTATCAGTCCCAGAGCTTTGGAATTCCTTACCTGAGGAACTAAGATGGGCTGACTCTGTAGGCACTTTTAAGTCTAAGTTAAAAACGCACTTATATAGAATGGCATTTATAGAGTAGCACAGTTATTTTTATTCTGTGTCTTTTGACTGCTTTGTATTTGTATTCAAAGCACTTTGTAACTCTGTTAAGAAAAGTGCTATATAAACAAAGTTATTAATGTATTTATATCCTGTCATGGAAATAGTACTTGTATGTAAATGTATTTAGTTTCAGAAAAATATCTGAATTAAAATGTATTCGGCCACATCAGAGTACTGTATTGTGAATACACTACTTTGAATAGTTTTACACTGAGTTGCATTATATTATAGGGTAAAAGCACAAGATATAAGTAGAAGCAGCCAATGTTGTGCAGTTTAAGACAAAAACATTAGTTTTATATAGCACTTTTTTGGACACTCAAAGACACTTTACAGAGCATTATTCATTCACTCCATATTCGGTGGGGGCACGCTACTATTGTAGCCACAGCTGCCCTGCGGCACACTGACAGAGTCGAGACTGCCAATCTGCACCATCGGCCGCTCCGACCACCACCAACACTTATACACACACCACCTGTGGCGTGGAGAGGTGTGTGCATGGCATTGTGGGTGAAGTGCCTTGCCTAAGGACTCAACGACGGCACCCCACTGTGGCACCTGATGAAGTACCTCTATGTATTTCTTTTAATAAAGGAAAGTAACTGTATTCTGAGTACTGCCAAATGAGAAAGTAACTGTACCACAAAAATCAGTTACTCACAATTAATATTCAGAATACATATTTTCGGTATACATGTAATCAGTTACTGACTGTATTCCTCAGAATGTAAACAATAGAAACACGCATGCTATATATTGTAGTGTTTGGTGCCTTTCTCCAAAACAAACAGATAGGAAGTTTGATATGCCCTCCCTCCCTCTCTCCCTCTCTCTCTCTCTACTCCCTCTCTCTCTTGTTCATCTTGTGTGGTGACATTTTATTGGATAAGGAGCGGGCACTTGGGGAGAAGAAAAAAAGTCTCAAGCACCTGCAGCATAGCACAATGGCGAGTTTAGAAAACAGTGAGTGAGGAATTTGTGTAAACGGGGCCAAGTCACGTCCTGGGAGTGCGGAGATGAAAGCACCGTGCAGAGGAGGAAATGGGGGAGGAGGAGTGTCACCTGGAAAACAGCCTACCACTGACAGGATCCCAACCAGGCAGGACGGGCCCAGGAATCAACGCTGATGGGGAGGGGGCGCCAGCTCAGGTATTCATTCATATATTTAAGTAATTAATGTACATATGGATTAGAACAGGGGGTGTGCAACCTTTTTTCACAGAGCGTCACAAATTGGGAGATAATAAAAATGGACGGTCACAGACTGATCAACAATACAGTAGATCTTTGAGATGGGTGCATTTTAGAGAGCTTTAGCAGAAGCACTGTACCTTCAATAAAACGAGTTGCAACATTAATTTTATATCTGTATCACAATGCAATGTGATGTTATTGAGGTTGTAGTAGAATTACTTAAATTTGCTAGAGAAATTACTGCCTGTGGTCAGTTCGTCCAGTTTAGCAGAAGACGTAAAGGCACATTTAGTGTTTACTGTTTTTAAACTGGTTCTACATTTGAGTTCACATGCAAAAAACCCTAAACCAATTAAATGAGTGTAAACATATGGAAGACAGCTCTTTTCAAATATTCTTGTATTTTCAGTATGAAATTTGTAACTTACAGTGCCTTATTCGCTCATTTGTACTGTTTCTCAGAACTTTGTGCTATTTGTTTATTCCTCATGGCCAATACAGACAGATCAGAATTCATAGAAACCAGATACGGTTCAAGGCAAGATTGTGATTTTAAATTCCTTAAATATGACGTATCTGTATCACCAAATATGAGGTACAAATTCAGTCAAATATAGCTTTGATTTATCGCAATTGTAATGCTGTTTTTTGTTTTTTTCTTAAGTACAGATATGATGATCAAGTTGTTTATATTTTATAATTTGGTGTCGGTTATCAAGATGATCAGTCAGACAACAGAATGAGTCTTTCATTTGGGTTGCCAGTCTCTCTGATCTGAAACCTCACTGCCTAAACTCCAGCATCTGCAGCCGGTCATTAATAAGAGCTAGTGAAGCCTCTGCTGTTACACTATGCTGTCCATACTGAGAAAGAGGAATATTTGTAGTGTCTTCGATGTGTAGGTTAAGGCTCTGGCAAGCCAGGTTCAGTTGTGATTATAGTGCCTGTTTTAAAACTAGGAAAGAATACAAGCTACATACTGTACCTTTAGTCAATTTTTATTATAGCTGCTTCCAACTAT